TTGACCATTGTACTGCGATTAGTCTGGCACACAGTTTGAACTCATATATATCCCAGATGATGATTGAGAAACCTAAGTTTGCACAATCGAGCGAGCAGATTGGATGAAGAAAGTGGTCTCTGATGAGAAGTGCGGTTCCATCTTCGTTGACCATGAAGTGATAGACAGGACTGTTCAAACGAATGTATTGATTAAATAAAGCCTATTTGGAATCTGATCGAAAAGTTAGTTGATGATTCCCCAAGCCGGATCGTTTCAGAGTGGAACAAATGGTATAATAAAGAAGCCAGGGACTATGGAGTAGTTGAGAAATAATGAGAAACTGCATGTATCTTGCAGATTTATTCAATCATACAACGCGTGCTGTTCCTTGCACCCATATAAATTTTCCCATGGGGGTGGAGATGTATAAATCGGATTGGTCGAACTGTGTGGTTACGTTCCATGACTTCATTCATTCAACTTACATTTTATTCCGAATATTCGCAGTAATGGTGAACTAGAAAACCGAAAATCCACCCAACATTGAGACATACGGCTTATAGTGACTTTCATTATCTTCAAAGCGCACCTTGATAACACACAACCATTGTTAACTGAGGGACTTAATCGGGACTGATGAAGCCGTTTTTGATCTTCATGGAGGGATTAACAGAAGGGAGCCCACATGTTATAACAGATGCACACCAGAGCTACAATACCCAAATTCATGTCTCTCTTAGGGTATATAGAGAACGATCGTTATGTCCTGGTTAGGCGTATGATCGATACGAGCGCCTTTTGTCTATCACCAACAACGATACGGTAGAGGGAACATGAACGGAGAACTACAGTCAGCGTGTATCCTTGATCATGACGCGATACGAAAACATAAGTGGATAAATTGGACGTACGAGAACGACGTGGTGACGCACTAATCAGATTGCGTCCTTGTCATTCCGATTCGTCGGTCGGACGACTGCTGTCTGACTTGTCCTAGTCATCCAATCCTCAATCGATTCGCCTTTGGCGTCGCAAGCGTACTTGTGGTGTGTGACGCGGATTCATGCCGGGCTTGACTGGTTGAATTATTCGATCAAGAGTAAACGCAAAGGATTCATTTCTATCAGAATTTCTATCAGCATGACGAAACATATCCACAATAACGGGTATGCAGAGGAAGATCTGTTCTCTGTCCGCACGGAACTCCAGATTTCATCCTATTAGATTACTTCCAGAGGATCCAACTACTGTCTGGCGTCTACACTCTCCAACCACATTCCTTAAAGAAATTGAAGTTGCATTGAAAAACATCCCCCTGAAGAATCCACCGAGGTTCACATGAAAGAGATGTGTTGAGAGCGGACGGGTACATTGAATCCTAGCTTGGGCCTCTAGCGAGCGTACCGATTGATTGAAAAGGTGAAAATATGTTCCTTTCTCTAATCGATGATAATTTCTAATTTACTTGTGATTCGTTTTTTATTCAGGTGTCGCTCAATCAAGCGTCCTGCCACCTGATTAATACTCGTGAATTCAGGAATGTTGTCTACGGATGATTTCACGGAAAACTTTTATGGATTAAGGGAAACCGGCTGTATGGATGAGATTGATGCAGGTTTGAAAACAATTGCGTATATGAGAGCACTTCCAAACGATCTCTCAATTACTCCACAGTCACTGGCCTCTTCCCTACACCACTTGCTCCCACTCTGAACTGATCAGGTTTGCAGAAAACGCTCTGTTCATTTTTCACAATTCAACCGATCTGCTTTGTCCTCTTTGTCAGGAATAAGACGATTGAATTCTTTGCATGTTTCCCGAAAACGCAGACTTGAAGCATTCATCCAGACCAAATATATTCTGTCATCGTCCATTAAGTCCTTACAAAGACGGGACAACTGTAACTTGTCTGTCACGAGCAGCGAAAACACGACACAAAATGACAAGCTCATCTCACCACAGATACAAACACACAAACGATTCCGGATGGCTTGTGGACCGGCCTGTGAGTAGTGATCAGTTGACCCAGTTTCATTTGGTAAAAGTGCAAATGATCTGGTTGAAATTTCTGCTCAGCAGTGTATTTCCAGCTTAGTGAATCACCTGGTAAATATTTTGGTGAGAGCGGTTGACGGATCATGAGCTGAATTCATATCTCCGACATTGTTCGCCTCTCTCAGAAGGTGAATTAAAAGTCCAAGTTTTGTGAGCAAGGTTCGGAATGAATATCACTTGGATTTCGAATGTGGTTGTTTCTGCATCACCCATTCAAGCATTATCCGTGACGGGAATAGGCCTGATGACCGCTTGTGGATGTACAGCTTTTTATTCGAATGTTAACGACTTGACCGAAGAAATTTCATCAAGACTACCAATGTTCAACTGATGATTAAATCGGATGTATGGAATCAGATACCGTCAACATTTCTAACTGATACCATGCCGAAGTTTGTATACCGAACAGGATGCGAAGGGCTATCCTTGGCTCATAAGAAGGAAAAGGGACGCGGGAAGGAGGATGGCTATCATGCAAGCCGTGTGAGTAATACTCATTGCCCCGGCAAAGGTTTTCGCGCACACTGGGTGCTCATTTTTGTCAAGGGATCAACTTCGTTCGCTGTTTTGGCGATAAGCTTGTACATGTACACTGGTCTTTGAACCAAGGCCTCGAGTCTTGTGCAATTCAAACGAATCGATCTAAAAATGGAAATTCAGAACATTTCTACCCAAACCCCCTTTGATACTGTTTGGAAAAAAACCAAGAAGGATAAAGAAAATGTGTGCCTGAAAGGCGAAAAGCGGACTGCCTTGAAGCGAAGTTGAGTAAAACAAATATCGCCCCACAGGAGTGTGGCAAAAAGTGCAACAGATACTTAAAAACACTCGGTATCTGGTATACTGGGAAGATGAGAATACAATGAGTGGAGGAAAACAATTGTGCAGAATGACGAAGTGGATAGGAGGCGTTTGTCTCGCCGATGAAAACATTTCATGGTTCAGATGGGCTTGCATGGTCCCGGCATGAGCGCGAGCCTTTAGATGTGAGGGTGGGGTGGTGTAGGGGAGGGGTGCACCAAACTCGTTTATTGTGAATCTCACTACTTAGCTATTATCCCCATCCAACGCGGTTGCTGTCCTCGACCGGGGAGACCAAAAAGCGATACCCACCGAGGAGGTGTGGTCAGCCGCTGTTGGGAAACTGTTTTTTCACTACAGTTTTGGACTGATTGTGCAAAGATGGACAGAGAATTGGAAGATGTCTCACAATCGAACCACGCACGTAATCAGGATAATGACCGCTTCGGGGAAAGAGCCTGACATGAGGTGCAATCTATCTACACGCCACCTTGTTGCTGCCACGACAATTCCCTCCAGACTGCGAAAATAGAACACCAATTCGCCCACTTCGACGGACACTGTGTGAATAGCTAAACAGTTAGATTAAATCCGTTATTTTACCAATAATCTTAAACATAGAGGAGTGGGTAGTTTTGGACATGAATAGAAGAACCGGATGTCAAACAATTGTCATATCCAATGCAACTAATCTTTGTTTTCACACCAGTCCCATATTGGGATAGACCAGTAAAGTTGATTGTTTTTTTCACAAATGTGCATATAGTTGAGAAACAGATGGTCAATTTGATTACTAATCTGATGGTGGTGGTGGAAGCCGTGGCGAAGGAGGAAGAAGATCTGCGCCTGAACTTACTTCTTTGTATACTTCGCTTAGCTCAATTTTCCAACTGTCACAATTGCTCACGTGCCGATCACAACAGGCCACCGGGATGGCATATTTGTAATCGGTCGGACCATTGAAACCGCAGCATTTCAACTGATGCACCGAGGAAAACGATGGAACAGAACCATAGGATGGGATGGGGTGGGGTGGGGACAAAGAGTGTGAAAAAGAATAAATTAGCCACGTTTTAATTTATCCATAACAGATAAAAATGATAAAATTACAAATACCGTTTGAGTGAAATGAGAGATTCGATACATCAGTACACATGGCCTCATTATCAAAAGAGTCATTCAGCTGTGAGTGATTGAGTGAATGGTAGAAAAATTGATTCCAGTTTTAGAAACCGAAAACCTATGCAGCGCTGGTAGAATACAATCAATAGGGTATTGAATGGAGCGGAAAGCAGTTAATTTCCTGGCAATGATAGGGGTTCGAACCGCGAACGTTGAAGTTCGGAGTATAGCGGTGGAAACGACTGAGACTGTTTGATAACTAGCATCACCACCACCACCATCCAGTTTGACAACAATGCGTTTCACTCATATCAGCTGATCGTTTACACCACTGTTTGGTTGATTGGTTCAACACTTTAGAACAGTTGTGTGACATGCTGGAGCCTCCTGCGAACTGATGTTCCCGGTACTACTAGTCGGAAAACCAGGCTATTTTTGGGATGAGAGGAGCTGTACAAACTCATCGGCAATCTTCCCAATGCGAACGAACATTTGTCGCGCACTCAACCCACCCACCCATTCACACATCCGCAACAATCAGGAAGGGTACCTGGAGGTGTTGGTGTGTTCATCCAGTTTTGGGGATTAGCGTAACACCAACCGCGCGTTCCTGGTGTGTTGATGGGACGAATCCAGTGAGGGTGAACTCGGTAAAAATGGTAGCAGTCTAGGGGACACGTGAAACGGATTTAACAATGCCAATGTAATGGGTGTGGCACTGCTGCATACGGGAACACTAGACTCGCGTGGATGGGGTGGTGCTGCTCGGCGGAAGCAATGTCACAAGCGACAAAGATCGGTGTGTTTACCAAAAAAGGAGGAGGAGAAATAAACTTCCTACTGAAATCGGCAGTTCATTCTTTCTATCGGACTGGGGACAGTACAAGAACAGATTTCCCGTGTGTATCTGTGTGTGCGCGCGCGCGCGCTGACAATTTTTCTTCTTTGACTTGTTACGACGGAAGTGGCACTCTCCAGCCACCCCACCCCACTCCACCCCCATCCCCTCGGGGTTTTTGTCTTGTCACAACCCAACTGGACGAGGCACACACACAGTGGCACAGACTAAACCAACCACAGGAGATGCAAACTGAAAACTGGTGGGCACACACGTACGTTTATGATTGATTCGCACACATGCACGCAAGCTCTTCCGCACAAACAGACACCCACACACATACAGAGGGTAGAACTATAGAAACATATCGATCAGCTAGGATCAAGCTGTAATCGGTTATCTGATTGGCCTGAATCCGTGTGGGATAGAAGAGGAGAGGAGAATGCGCCAAATCAGGAGAGGAAGTGGTGGGATTCGAACACACGTCCTCCGGGATGATAAGTTGTTTACATTTTTCTTTCCAATACCACCACCACCGATTGATTGACAAAACAGTGCGAGCGATGGACCAACGAACTAGTTATGAAGGTAAGAGAGAGATTCACAGCTTCATCCACGAGTACCAAATCAATTAGGTTCGTAAACCACACCCCCGTGTTCCGGCGAATTTACTGTCCGATCTTTTGGCCGATGCTATGATGTTTTTTGATAACGTTTCGTCCGATTCCAAACTTTTTGTTTGGGCAAACGTTTTCTGCCAGGATGGCTTACAAAATGGTGATTCGTATAATTTGTGGCAACGAACGATTCAACATTTGACAGGTCTAAGTTTTTTTTATCGCATACCATAACTGCGGTACTAACAAACTATTTCACAAATCGATCACAGTTCATACGTTGCCTTGGTCGTTCCTCTTCTCCCTTAATTTCCATACTAGGTGTACGATAGGGTGCCATTCTGTCCCCGTTTTTCTTTCCCCCTATTGTTTCATCCATACCTACTTTTCGAAATTCCCTGCTCACTACAAAACGCGGATGATGTTGTGGTGGGAATCAACCACCCTGAAGCATCTGTCCTCTCCACCTTTCTGAGTGGTCCATTGCACATAACTTAACTCTCAATTCCTCTAAATGCGTAGACATGCTATTCTCACCTCAGAGATGGAACCGTTACACAAACCTCTTAGAATGCTGCCCCACGCTGAACATAGGCAATGATACTATTACCCAACCCCAAAATGTTAGATATTTCGGTGTGTTAATCAACCGAAAGTTATGCTGGTCTGACCAAGTTATTCCTGTATTTGGAAATTATTACCTTACGTCCTACGCCTGAAAGCTTAATCTAGCCTTCGCTTCTTGATTAGACTTTTTCGTTTTGCTTATATTTCGCCCCTATGGCTATACGGGTCCCCTTTAATCTTCCCAGGGATGCTCAAGAACGCCTTCACGTTGCTTTCCAGATAAATTGGCCAATTTATCTAGAAGTAGTGGAATTTCCCGTGAGATTCTCTGTCACTTCATTAGTTCACAACATACAAACTCATGTCGTTCGTTATTCACAAAATCATGAATAACCCTTCGCATCCATTACACACAGAACTAATGCAGCGTGTGTTCTATTCTGCCACCCGATCCCACTAGGCCTGAATATTTGCTCGCACAACCACCTACCGATCTTCTGTGGTATCTTATCTTGCCCGCTATTTTTACTGAAATGTGTGTGCTTGCGAAAGTTGCGCACAATACAATTACTGTGTGACACCGGGCGTCTTTCCATGGGTCACGGTTAGTATAACGGTTACTTAGGTGGTTGATTGTGAACAGGCGGCAGTCTCTTCATTGAATGAACGGTCGTGGACGAGAAGAAACGATTCCCTAGCAAGGTTCCTCCCGACAAATGAGTTGATCAAAACAGACAGTCGCAAATATCAGCAGCAAACAGCGTATTGTGCACGAAAATGGTCTTACCACACACACACACACACATATATATATATATATGTGTGTGTGTATGTGTGTGTGATGTACAGCACGCGGATTGGACCCCATTAACGAGAAGACATGCTGTCCACAGTGAAGAAAACCGCCAACCTAATCAGGGGGTTTGGAATGGGCAACCACATAAGGTTCATCTAGGTTAGGCGTGGTATTGAACCGGACGACAGGAAAGCTGCCTACCACTAAAGTTTGGTGACGTTGACGGGGTTCGAACCTCGGACCACAGGATCCAGGACACTCCAGTGACCGCGACCGAACCACATCACCACCATCGCCACCGCCCAATAAGACCAACACCATCAACTTGATCCTATACACGCAGCACATAGCAGTGCAAGGGCCATATTTGCATGCTCTAGCTGTACTGGGGATATCAATTTATGCCTTGTTCTCAGTAATCCTCCTCCAAGAGTACAACTTATCCTCAGGTGGGAACAAGACGTCTAAAAGACTGTCCAAACCCAGTGCTGAATTAGGTTCTTAATCTTGCCACAAAAATGTGCAATGGGAAATAGAACAGAGATCATATCGCTCATTCGGACATTGATGTCATCCCAGTTGGGGCATGTGTTACGCATCTCACCAGATAAGTTGCCACGGCGAGCGATGTTTGCCGAGACAGGTAGCGGTTGGAAAAAGGTCAAGGGCGGTCAAACGAAGANGACTCCGAGATCATGGTAACCGTTGATAAGAGAGACTGAGTGATATGGCTGAGTGTCGCAAACAGTAGTGCTCATGCACCTACTCATTATTCTTGTAACATCAGTCTATATAAATGCGCTGTATTCCGCTTGATTTTGTTCGCAACATTCTAATCTTCATTCTGCTCTTTTATCCCAATGGGCAACCAAAACCGGTGCACGAAAGAGCATGGTTAATGGTTGTAAGAACTCAACTGAACTTGACATCCCAGTTCCACTGCCTAGTAAATTTCGAAAATTTAAATTACATTTGAAGTGCATGAACAGATCAAGCGGTACCAGTGAGAGCAGATGTACCTTAGCTTGTGCAATTCGACGCAAACGAACGTGGCAAACCCCGCATTTGCTTGTGCCATTTCACTGTGGCTCTGATATATGAGAGTATTCTCTATGATACTAGACGGTTTCGAAGACTTCAGCGCATCTCCTCTGTGCTGATCGCGTCAAAATCTACGACATCTGTTAACGCGCAGTTTCAAGTCATGCATATCGATGATGACATTTTAGTGATGCGAATAACGGCTGTGGTATGAAAATGGAAACTACATACCGACACGATGAAGATACCCTGCCCAACCGAGAAGAGGCATTCGCTGGAGTAGACAGATCATCTTTGAGTCGTTTTGGTTACTTTTCTTTTCCCGAACCGCCAGAGCGCATTGGCACGAAAAGGTGAATTGGGGCATTCCCGATTGAATTAGAGATTGGCGTGTTAACCGAGGTGGATTGCGTGATTGAGTAAACACCGAGGAACAATGTAGGTTCTGTTGTGATTATGGCTAAAGATACGTGTCAGTAATCATGTGAATCTGTGTACTTATCTAGTTTATTCATTAATTAATAATAATTGTTATTACTATTATTACTATTATTGTTATAGGCCGAGGAATGATGAAGGGTTGGTTGTCTGGCAATACAACACTCCAAGGACAAGTAATTAGTTTTATTCTTCACTTTTCCTCCCGTTTAGCCCCGAAAGAGAATCTGTGGAAATGATGTCTGCGTGAGAAGTGGAACATTAGTGAATGACTGACTAGGTAGAGCGTATGGGACTGAAACGGTCACCTTTCACGGGCACGGACACATCCCGATAGAAATTCACACCGTCTAAACCAGCAGCCACGCCCCGGAAAAGTATCTCTTACTTTCAATATGCACACACATTCTGATACAGTACTTGTCCTGAAGATGACCTTAGGTATTGGTAGGAGCTGTCTGCAACCCCGTTACGATTTCACGGGGTTGGATAGAACACTTTACATTTTATCGTAAACTCAATTGGTTCTTGCGACGATTATGTTTTGTTAGAAATGATGAATTTGATTTGATCACACACAGTGAAGTTCGTCACGTACGAAGCAGATGAAGCGTGAACGAAAAAGCTGGGAAGCACTACTGTACAACTGTCTCGACCTGGTTGAGTCTCATCAGTGCGGTACAAGCCCATCGTCTTAATCAGGGATCGAACCCACTACTATACATGCAAGTATACTACCCACTCAGTCACCGGACAGCTGATCAGACCGTTTATCATCTTTCTTATGCATGAGATAACACAACCCATCTTTGCGACCTTGTCAAGAGTTCAATGTAGGCATGGCACCTTGCGTACATCAGCACACTAGCCTCCAGTGTTAGGACTCGGTTAGAAACATTCCGATCCGATTACATGTTACATCACGTGAGTGACAGGAGTGGTAGCTGGCAAAGACGGATTGTGCTATAAACACAATTCTGATCAGGTGTATGGTGACCTGTGACGTCCCAGGTTCGATCCCCAGTTGGGTCCATGGATTCGGAATATTGCTGAAACCCGGTCAGGTCGAAATAGCTGTCCAGGACAAAATTCGCCATGGATAATTTTCTCGATGGTGATTTTCCATGAACGCTCACTATCCACACACACACACACACACACACACACACACACACACAGGTAGATAGTTCAACAACGCTTACGACACGGGCAATGCGGATGACGATGGGAAAGAGCATTAGCTGCACATTCGAATCCCAGCACATTCTAAATGTACACCGCAAGTCTGCTTCTGGTTGCTACGGTAAACGTATCCCAATGCTAGAAGACAACCGCTGTGCAAGCGCGGTCACAGAGAAGAATTCATGATAATGAATCCGTTGGTTGTAGAGACAGATAAACAGTGCAAAAATTCATGACTAACATGCCCTACTGACATATCTCGATCGCATATGTAACACGCCGTTTTGTGTTGGAGCTAACTAGCAACGCTGTAACAGCCTCAACTATAGCAGGGCTTGGAGTGGCGAACCCCCCGGGGCTCCCATGGGGTATGAGGAGCTATGGATCCAGACGAAAACAACAACAACAACAAGGTTGTCTATCACCAACGTTAGGTGGCGATGACAGGGTTTGAAACTCGCATTTCAAAACCCGATGCACACCCCAGTGAGAATGACCGAACCCGCTAGACCAACACAACCAACACGATCGACTTAAATCGGAAACCCTTTGCAATAATAAATAACATGAAGCATGATGCTGAATATCCCACGGAGAATTCATGAGGTTTTGCACATATGTACAAACAATGTGATATAGTCACATACAGTGATATCCGGAAGAAAAAACTGACTACAGACATTCCGGCAAAAACGGACAAGGTGATGCGGATCCTCGCATAGCAATGGACGAACTTTGGCATTATTACACGAAACTAGCGAGCAGACACAGAGGCAGAATTACTCAGTCAGACGATCCCAATCTTAGTTCGTTTTCATTCAGCAGGCTCTAACAATACTAATGAAAAAAGGGAGCACTCGATCCGATGTGCACGTGTTTGCGCAAGCACGGACGGAACTGTACAAGACGACAGGTCGAGTGCGTGAAATAGCAATTCGCTAACCTTGTGTCTATCCACTTGTGACAACAGAATGAATTGCTAATTACTTTGTGCCATCAAACTGAACAGCAGCAACAGCAGTAGCGGCAACAATAACAACAACAACAACTAGAGAGCTATTCGTGACCTCTGTTTCCGTCCTTCTGCCTGAGAGAAGCTGTCCGAAATTCATGCTNAATGTTGCCCCCCAGGCAATTCCAAATAGTCTTGAGGGGGGAGAGGAGTGACAGGGACTGTGCACGAGCACTGTCAGCTGTCCATCCCCGTTTCGTGCACAGTGAAATTGTCCTCATTCATCGATCAATCAGCTCGTTAATCAATCTATCAATCAATCATGTATATTAGGTATCGTGAGTGTGACCAGTAGAGCATGGCGATTAGATGTGTGCGAAAGAGTGCTTACACGATTCATATTCGTACACAAGTGAAGCATGGTCGATGCGACAATGTGACGCAGTCATTGACCCGGGAAAGATGTCTATGCTACACGAGTCCGGAATTCAAATTTCAAACAGGTTGGCAGATGTGCACAACAGATGTGGCACAACAATAACAAAAACAACAACAGCAACAACAGTAGCAGCAGCAACAACAACAACAAATACCGCTCTATTCTAGTCTGTCTCGAGTGCACAGCTGAGTGGACATGAACGGAGGATTGTCCGTGAAGATGAATTCTAAATGGAGCTCAACCCAAATCGACAAGCTACAGGACAAACGTCTAAATTGAACTGGTGACGTCAAGTCTACCTTACAAAACTATGGAGACAGAGATTACGGGTTAGCGCTGTTAAACTTTCTACGGGCAGTAAATTCATCTGGGAACAAAGGAAACACATCACGTTCAGTTCAACGGTTCACCCTTCCCTCCTGTTGTGTAGTGGTCAATGTCATCTGTTTTTACAGGCGTGACAGTTCATGGTTAACCTTACGCAGGAATAAACGACGGTAGTTCGCAAACGCTACACAAGATGATCATTTTCCTTTATTCACCCCAGACACACCGTAATGGCTAATATGTTATTTAGTGTTTAGTACGTGATCATGTGATGAATGGGAAACCTAATAAGGGTCCCGATCGGCCGGTCCAGTTTGACGGAAAGTGAAGTTAAATGTTCAAGCGTATCAGCTCAGTGATGCGGCTTGAAATCCAGTGACTTGATGACTGATTTCGTCCACGATAATAGGCTATTATCACCCGTCTGCAGAGAGATACAATGTGACTGGATTGGACAGCACCTGTAGGATGCTCAGACCAAAGTGATTTCATTGTCCACGGACAATCACCGAGCTGACCTGTACAATAGACCGGTTCATTGAGCATCCAACGCGTGTGCAGGCGTGCACGCACAACCACAACCAAATGCGGCGATTTTCATCACATATTGCACTTCTCGGTTGTTCACTACCCACATGTCTTCGGCGCATACTAGAGCTGGATGAACCGCATTGCGTCCAGTGTGTGTGTCTGTGTGTGGCACAGGTTGATGACAGATAAATGTTACACGATGCAGTTGTCCAGCTCTGAGCCACAAGCCACTAGCAAAGTAACAAAAGTAACAAAATGTGTCGAAACCACAAAAATTTGTGGATTCAAATGATGCATAGGACTGCCTAAAGTGTTAATCGCTTTTCTCCCTCTGGGGAATCAATTTTCGATTAGTGATGAAATTCAGTCAACTGACGCCATTTTGTACACGGGGATAATGCGCTCAGAGAGAAAGTGATCTGTGTGGGGCCAGGGAGAGTAACTTAACACAGAAAGCCTCAGTATGGTTTGAGGTGGGTGTCTTGGATTGTGATTGGTCACCCCTCCCTTGCACCACGCGATACGCCCTCATATGATCAGATGTTCCATTTTTCCCTGTTCACCGAACTTGGCACTTGGTTTGCAAACGTTTCATCACCAAACCGAGGTGAAGTGGCAAACAAATTGCGAAGCTCGGCGCACAAGAGAAATGGAATTTAGTTCAAACGAGCTACAAGAACAGATTTTGGATAATTTGTCAGCAACCAAACATCTCAAATAGTCTCTGCTGAGGAAACCCCACTCATTGCCTTTTCGTGGCATATCGGTTTTCCCCCCAAAGTAACAAGACGAAAGCCAATATCCGGGGCAATAACCGGGTTGGTGAACCAATGACAATTCAATTAAGGGGAGTTGGTTAAAAATCCTCAATCCAAACCAACCAAGAGGAGGCGTATGAACAACCCCAAACATTTTGGTGGTGGCAGTGGTCACAAGGTCACCTAGGCCGGACCAGACTTTAGCTCGTCAAAGGCTCCGGTCTTGAATTGCCTCACGGAAAAATATAGTTACCAGTACCTCATTTGCAACATCTGGTAGATTTGTTTGGGCAAACTTTTCAGAACCAATCGATTTACGTAACAATATTGTGACTCGATGTTTGTAGGCTGGTCCGATGCTACTAACCGCAACAACATTTGTGATGAAAATACACCTCCTCGGTACATGCGTATGAATGAGCGGATACGCAGGCAGCGAGAACCGGGAACTTGGTAATGTGCTTCGAATCATTCATATATTCTCCGTGCATCGAGGCACAGCGAGGATGACATGCGCGAGTTCCACTCTACCTGGGATTGAACAGTGGGACATTCTCGTTCAACTGGGAATCAGAAACTAATTGTAAGCATAATTC